CAAAAGAAAACAATGGGTTTAGAGTATACTACTAACTATTATGCGTACTATAATAATTTTTTCACGGGTTAAATAAAATCACTCTAGTAGCAGTATAGTTGTTTAGTGGTAGTAATAGACTAGCAGGCATTTATGAGGCATTTTAGACCATTAGCAGTAGTGGTAGCAATAGTAGTCCGTATCAGTAGCCATAATTACCCCAGAAATAGCATTCGCATTACTAGTAACTTTACTTTATTTACGTATTGTGCTCTATTGTTTAGATGCTTCGCAACTTCAGGAAATCCCTTGTGGTGGTCGCTCCTAAAATGCTTCTCAGAATGCCGGTAGGTATTCCCAGACATATATTTTCTGTTAATGGCTCCTGTTTTAAGAACGAGCATATTGATTTGGAAACTTAGGCTGTTTATTTTAACCAGTAGTAGTGCGTACTGATAAATGATAAATACTGTCGTCCATCATGCCTATTAACATTACATTCAATAAAGAATTTGTTTTCTTCGTAACCCCTTTGCTCATTTGTTACCACCAGGCTGCGATGTCTAACCTTAGTGAAATGGGACCTGGAACTCATTTCCTATCTGTCCTGGGTGACCCATCTGTAAATGGAACGGATGTTCGTCGTGTAGTGTTTTGTTCTGGTAAACACTATTATGCGTTGGCCAGAAGACGAGATGAATTGAAGGCGAAAGATACGGCCATTATTAGACTCGAGGTAGAATCCTTTCATAAATGCCTTCAAACACAATTTTGCTCTCTGCGTGTTATAACCCCCCCCTCCACTGCCCTAACAAGCCCCCAGTTGGATTCACCAAAACTTAAATAAGCCCCAGCCCTCTAATGATCGTGGTGTAATTAGACATAGTATATTAAATCAGAAAATGATTGTTGACACTTATTAATAATAATAAGCATATTTACATCGTGATATCAGATTTTTTGCATAAAGAATCTTCAAGAATACTGATTTTGAATGTATAAAATTCTTACACGGTGTTCGTTATCAGCTTGCCGTTGTATGGACGAAATGCTTTTAATGACGCTTATCTTACACATTTTAGGCACTTACTCCATTTCCTGCTGATGTCATTAAAGACGAGCTGAAGAAATACCCTGCAGCAAAAGGTTCGATTTAATTTTGAACCGATCAATATATACACTTATTTAAATAAAGTTAGTCAACAAAAACTTAGAAAGCTGTGATCGCTGAAAATCAAGGGAAATATTTCATATTCAACAAGTAAAGGTTTCGACACAAACTGCAGTAGTTGAGGATGCTCAGAGGAGGTGAACTTGTAACTGGTAGAAGATCTCAAGTCCATCAACAGTTATCAAGCGGTTGAAACATGTAAAATGTATCTACCCATAATCCTTGCCGGTCTCAGCTTTGTAGTTTTTCAGGTGACTAACTTTATTGAAATAAGTGTGTATATATATAATATATATATATATATATTCTTAATTACAGTCATTTTCATAAACGACGAGGTCCATTTTATATTGTTTTGAGTAAATGTTTTCCCACTTCGAACTACCTCGCTCGAAAGATTTTTTAAAATAAAAATTGAGCACATTCGACCTTGAACTTTATGATTGGCGTCTCTCAAAATCATGAAAGAGACTATGAATGTATGACTAATCTAGCTGATTTTAAAGTATCCCTTATCTTTCCCTGTCACAAGAATTTGTCTGGAGCCAAGAGGAGCACAGGAACATGGGAGCTTGGACATTCGTAGCACCAAGATTCAAGAACATACTTGGAATTCAGGTATTGATAATGCCGGATTTCTGCTTAAACACCCTCTTCATGACAAGCAAAGTTGGCCATTAGAATAGTTGGGTTGTTTTAGAAGACGAAATAAGCGGAATGTGTTACCTAAAAGACACTCACATTGCACCACATGCCAACTCGACACAGTGTTTTCTTAACCTCGGAAAAGCTAATACATTAATTAATTGTATCATCACTCTATAATCGTATATAAGCAACTATTGTATTATTTTCAAATTCTCTCTCCTGTCCAAATTAAAGATTAATTTGGATTGTTTCCATCCGCGTTCTTTAGAGGGAAAACTATGGCTTATGGAAACAGTCTAATATAGTTTGCGGTGATATAATTAATCTGCAATAGAACTACATGTCTGTCCAATTTGAAAATAATTGAATTCAAAAAATTCCTCTGACCGCCAAGCTGGACTCGGCCAGTCGGCCTCTTCCAATTTTTTCAGTCGGAATTTTTTTATCCAATTATTTTCAAATTGGACAGCATGCAGTCCTATTACCTATACTTAATTATACAGCTTCTCATTAATCCCATATAGGTAACTGTCCAATTATTTTCTTAATTGGACAGGTCTTGTTGATATGGGGTTTTGAATATTAGATGCTAGCTTTCTGATTACATTTCCAGTTTTAATATTTAGACTCGAAAAATTCCTCTGACTGCCAAATTGGACTCGGCCTACGGCCTCATCCAATTTTGTCAGTCCTCGGAATTTTCCTCGTCCAATTATTTCTTAATTGGACAGCATGGAGTCCTATTACATATACAAATTGTTAATATACACGATTTATTGTTTTATACAGCTTAACTATGTTGGACGAAAAGTCCTCGCAGCACCCGCCGTTGGAATAGGAAAACTTCATTCTCAAGAGGCTGCTCAAGTTCTTCAAGAAACGTTTCCCATCAAGTAACATGGAACTAACATTTTTAAAATGTTTGTCGGTTTTCTTCTTCCGTCGTTTTTAGATAAGGTTTTTAATCAATTCGTGTGCGTTCGGTGACCTATTACTTTCTGGTCTATTAGCGATAGAGGGGAAAAGGAACGAAAAGGAACGGTTTTGAAAACCAAAACAATACAATAATAAATTATTTGAGCCTAATTTCAACATTGCTTTTATTCATATGGTTGACCTATTAGTATTCTATGAATCAGCTAATGAGAAACAATGTTAGTTACTATAATTTAATAAAGAACAGTGACAATGGACCTTTATCACACGGCGGCCATGTTTATTCTTATGAGAATAAAAACCTTTGTTTCCCCAGCATAAATTAATTCTCAAGCGCTTGAATATGAGGCTACGCGTGGTGGAATCTATTGTTCAATCCAACATGGCTGCCGCGTGAATAAGGCCCATCAAACGAGCTAAAAACAGGAGTCGGTTTTGATTTTTTCAGGGGAGATCGGGATTGCGTTGCATGGCAGGACGGACCGTTTTTTTTCTTTTCTTTTTTTTTTTTTTTTTAAGATGTTTCCCGCATCAGTAAAAAAGTGCACTGTCTCTTATCACGCTAATAAATTATTTTATTCGTCGTAAGAAGGAGTTTGCTATCAAATGTTGTTGTTTTTTTTTGTTTTTTGTTTAATTATTATTATTTATTTATTTATTTATATATTTATATTTATTTATTTATTTATTTATTTATTTATTTATATTTTTATTTATTTATTTATTTATTTTGAAACTAAACATTTTTGCAAACAAATTTATTCCAGTAACGCGTATAATGCGTTTACAGCCTCGTTATAAGGCTGAGGTACAAACATTTATTTGCAAAAATTTCCCAAAGATTTGTAGTCTCAAAATTTCATATCTGAAGTAATCTGCACTATATCTTGAGGTTTCTCAAAGTTCACAGTCGCAATCAAAGTCATGTTATAGATGCTGAAACCCAAATATCTTTCAGTTTAATTTTGCCCTAAAATATTCTCGAATCTCTAGAATTTTTTTTTCCTTTTTTTTTTTTTTTTTTTTTTTTTTTTTTTTTTTTTTTTTTTGAAAACCGCTCCCATTGGTTTCGTCCCTGATTTGTGGTCACATGCAGCTTGTTGTATGGTGGGTGGGTTTTGTATCTATTTCGTTTAGTAATATTAATCAGTCAAATATCGTTTGAATATTCGTATGCCAAAATGAATGATAATGTGCTCACAAACAACTGAAAGTGCTACAATCACTTGAATTTTCTATGCTTAAACGAAAACGAAAACGAAATCGTTCTTATTATTTAAGCATGGTAAACACATAAGTAGATAGGTGGCTTGCTGTCATCGCAAAAATCCCACGAAATTCAAGAAAGTCCCTGACTAAACTCTCGGAATCTGTGTGGGTAAGTCAGGCAACTAAAGAAGCCGAGTCGAATAATCAAGGAAAGAAATTGATATCTGCTATAATGGATAATCTATGCGAACCCTTTTTATCTTCAGAGTCAACAGATTGCTCAATTATAGAACCTGATCAAAGGAAAAAACCTTACGGGCCCTTAATAACTGCTAAACAAAAGGAAGTTGAAGTAGATCTGATTGAAGATATTGATGTAGACATAGAAAATGGCACGTATTTTCTTTGTGCTCGTGCATTTGCAGTAGTTTCCCAAAGAAGAAGAAAAACACGAACAATCATGACTGCACCGTTTATACTACTAACAATGTTAGTTGGGCTATGGCCTGTCTGTCGTTACAAGGTTTTTCAGAAATTTTTCATGGTTATAGGAGTTGCTATTAATACCTATGTCTTTATTGGAAACATTGCCGTGTACAGATTTTGTGCTGTTATAACCCCAAATGCTGCTAATGAACTAAGTCCGTTCTTGTGTTACGGAATGATGGCATTTAATGAGACTAGCAAACAATGGGCGAAGATCTTTCGACCTGTTTTGTTTTCGCGTGCACTGTTCAGTTTTGCTCAGTTCTCTGGCTATATCTTGATAGCTCATTGTATTTTGGGCAAACTGCCTAAGCAGAAAAAAGCAGTGCCTTTGAAACTTGCCTATAATTTGCTAACTCGAAAACAGTGGATTAAACTTAACTTTCAGATTTTGCTGTCTTTTTCGATATGGATTACTTTCCTTGTAAGTGACCTGCGACATGCCGAAAAATACATACCAAAAGACCACTTCGTTATTTGGCTCAAAATAGAGAACTTGGTCGTGTGGTTTTACGTTGGAGCACCATTATGGATTTTTGCAGTGATGATCTCCGCCTTGGAATCCCTAATAACTGCTTGTATTCATGAAATCAAAGAGCTTAGAGAAGGAGACATTAACGAAGTTATTTCTATCTACCAAGAGCTTTGCAATCACATCTTCAGTACCGTTCGGGGGTTAAAGTTTTGGTTCGTAATTCACTGGTTCGCATTTGGTATGGCGTTTATCGTGGACGTCGCCTTAGGTTTCAAGTCTGTTGATTCCCTTCCTAACCAACAGAATGAATTTCAATTCTGGGTCTTCCACATCGCTTTCTTGGCTTTTGCTCTTTACCCGTTCTTATATCCGTCGATCTGTGCGGCATCACTCACGAGTAAATGTGGTAATATGCTGGAACAGCTCAACTTCATATCAAGCACCGCGTGGCGTCCAGGTCACCCCTTAAAAATCCGTTCCAACATGAATGAGTTCTTAATCTTTGCTAATCAGACACATTGTGGTTTTCGAATAGGCAGGTTAACTTTCAACAACGGGCTAGCCTGGATCTCAATTTGCTTCGGAATTTTCGGGATGGTGTTCAAACTTCTATAAGCATGCATGATCCATTCCAAGGCTCTTAGTCGCAAAGAAGAAAGTAAGAACGATGCGCTCGTGGTTCCACTTCAGTTTGGATCATATAATGAGGCCATTCCATGTTCGATAAGAGTACTGACCATAGGAAAGGGTCCTCTATTTGCTAATTTTACAATAACGGAGCGTATTCTCGCAATCTAATTGGGTAACAGCTATGATCAATAAGAGGACCGTCACAAAGAATGACGCATCGCTCGCGCAGGGAGCCAGTGTTCTTGAAACCGTTTTTCTTTTAAACTTTTTTCCTTGTTTTTAGTCGTTTTTGTTATCATTTTACTGTAAAAAAAATCGCTCATAGATTTACTATTGGCTCAGTGTCCTCCTATTGAACATAGATCGTCTAAAAATGTTCAAAACTTTACAGTGTTTTGAAAGAATAAACCGTGTAAACGTCATTAACTACCACCATCAGAATCAATTGTGCAATATATATTGTTCACTGTTCAAACATATACTTTCTTATTGTACGTACTCATAAGGGAATAAAAATTCGAATACAAATTTCGTGAAGCATTTGGTATTGGTAGCAAAATGATGTCATCATGCAAATGGCCTATTCCAACGCAACCACAGCTCATCGTTGGCTTTCAAAACATTCAATGTTTCCGGCTTTAACAGTTTTTCTTACTTTCCCATGCAGTGCCGAACGAAAAGCTACCACGCCGAGTTAACTGAAAAAGGTCGAGAAATTGGCCGAATTGTAATGTACAATTGCATACAATTATTTTATATAACTTCTAAGTAAAATGGTATTAAGATAGATAAAGTTTGTGGTAATGCAGCTATCAACATGTCGAAAATATAGTTTTCCATTATACGACCTTATTCACGTTAGTTAATTTGCAATCGAATTGTCTAGGAGTACACAGGGTTCGTGCTACTCCTTAAACTCCTTGAATTTAATTCACGTTTTCAAGGGCACTTGAAAAGCTCTTGCATTTTACAATTTCTTTCGCTGTGTGTGGTCATTTTTTAGAACGGGCTAAATTCAAAAAATTACCATGCAAAGCGAAAGAAGTGCTATTTCTCAATGATGAGGCAAATTTTTGAGGCTTTATTTCACGTTTCAATGATTTTATTGAAATTTTTGAAGAATCCCCATGCATTTCCTTATAACATGACACCACAGAAATCAAGCTTGGGCTACCTGTGCTAGGAGTTAACGGTAAATAACAGGGAAGTGCTCAAAATATTTTTATTTTCTGTCTCATCGTCAGAACGTCGTTTTGTTTTCGTAATGATATTCTGATTTACATACTATTTGCGTGGAAACTGAATTATTCTACAACATCACCGTTACGATACCTTATTCTCACGTGTCAGCTTCTGTAGTTTCATTGTTATTTTTAGAAAAACAGCTTCCTAAAACTTTTTTATTTTCAATCTCCAAAGATTAATTAACCTCTACTACTTTCTACTGACTCAAAACCATAGTAACTATGCCAAAGCCCTTTAAATATCCATAAAAACTTTCGTAAATAGTTTTTATGTTAAAAATATCACAACCTTAGAGCCTATGGTAATGCATTGTATTTTCAATCTGTTAAATGTCCAAAACACGAAATGCTTTTTTTCTTTGTAGTCAATCCATCGTCATATTCACAACCAATTTTCAGAAAAAAAATTTTGATGAGTCGCTTTCTATTGGGATACACTTACTATCACCGGCAGACAAACTTTTCTTTCAATAGCAACGATTGTTTGGCAGGATCTACCCCCTGAATTCAAACAAATGTCTACAAACTGTTTCAAAAAAAGAGTCAAACAATATCTTTTGACCAAACAAAATTCGTCCTGTGGAAATCAAAACTAAATTATTTCATTTTCAATATTCGTCTTCCTCTTTATTTCTTGTTCTTGTTATGTCTTGTCGCTTTGCCGTTCACATTTGTCACCTTCGCTTTGCTGCTGCTATTTGTGTGTGTGTGTGTTACTGTCTGAAGCTACTGAATAAAATTATAACTAAAATTGCCTAGCATCAACTTTGAAAATCTTACCGTTCCTTTAGCCTCTAGTCATTTCCTTGAATGTAAAGCATTTTTTTCAAGAGATATAATGTAAAATAAAACTAAATCAGAAAAAATGCACTAATATATGTAAATATTTTTTAAAATGGAAATGGAAATAAAGATGATTATTATTATTATTATTATTATTATTATTATTACTTGATTTAATTTAAACACAATTGCAGTATAAAAAATATTCCTACGAACGAAAAAATAATCGTCAAGTCGCAACCGAAACCTTAATAATGTCTTTAAAGCCGCCATCCTCCATTAAGCTTGAAAAACAATTCCTCTCTTTGGTGGCTGATTAACTTCTTTTCTCACAGACAAGAAAATATATTCATATATCCTCCGAATAAACTCGTGAACGGATTTGAAGTCTACTCCTAAACAATTGCCCTATTTCACTATGACGTCACAGGTTGTAAGCGAGATAGTTATGAAGAACAACTAAATAGGAATTTGGACTAATTTCAACACTATAGTTGAATTGATAGCGCTGAGGCGTCTGCTAAAAAAATATTATAAACCAGTGTTTCCTCTACATTATAAATACACCTATTTCAAAAAAACGTGGCCTCTAACCCAAACTTTTTGAATCTTTTAGATTACTTTGATTGTGGCTGTGGGGCTGTGGGACTGGCGGCTGAGGTGGAAACCAGTGTCCAATTCTGACTGTGGTTTTGGTCTTCTCAGAATGCTTTATATATAAATAATAATATTTCACAACACTTTCCCCGTACTAGGAGCTTTTCCATGAGGTACCCTTCACACGCACTACCACTGTAGGTGTTATTTACGATGCACAACATTCAAATGACATGTTGATTTTTACTTGGACTAGGGAGGAAAACCGGAAAACCCGATACGAAAAAAAAAAAAAACCAGTCGTGACAATGAACAACATATCAGCTTGATGTTCGTTAGCAACAAAATCAACTCAAGTATTCATTAGTTTTCTCTTTTCTCAATAATTTAAGTAAGGGTCATTCAGTTTTTCTTTAACTAATATACCTCATTTTTTAAAAAGTGTTTGCATTTGAATCATTAGTCCTTTAAAAGGTTCAAGTTTCTTTTCTTTTTATCACCTTGATTGGTTTTGTGACGTCGTTTCGAGCTCAGTTTAGAGATTGATTCCTTCCGCTTTGTTTCTTTTGTGTGATTCCAAAACTCAGAGAATAGAAGAAATTGACATAACTGGGAAGAAAATGTAAACTGAAAGTAGTATAAAACCGTGATCATGAAGCTTGAAGGAAGTAAGTCCGAAAATCGGGAAAATATGAATTTTTAAAAATTATAGAAATTTGTGCATCTTGTGCCTTCAGCAAAGGTTTTCTTACGTAATAATATGGTCATCAATCAATCTCGATTGTGATTAGTCTGCTACTAGTTTTTTTAAATCACTGTGCAAAAAAAAAAAAAAAAAAAAAATCAGAAAATGTTTGTTCAAAAAAGAATCTAGATGTTCATTTTCAAAGAAAATCAAATGGGTTCTCGTGCATTTTGAAAAAAAATTAACTAGTGCAGTATTTAAAAATCGCTGCTTTTACTTTAAGACGCCTTTAGATCTTGATTACTTAGACACTGACTGTACTGGTAATTGACTATTCCATTAAATTTTACGAACTGAATGAGTGCGTTCAAGAGGGATTCTTTGGCTTAGATACTGTTTCATTTAAATACTTAGAACAAGCGCAAGCATTTTAAATATTCTTTCTTCGCATTCGTTACTTGCATGTGGTCTGTACTTTAATCTACTGAAATAATTTTTATGCGATAACATAACGAATTACGATTACGAAACCATGAACTGGACTTCACTGTGCCCTCCATTGAGGACATATTTTCAGTACGTTTTCATGAACTCACTATTATGATATCTTTTTGTTATCTAGTTTTGTCGTCAACGGCATGATAGCTATTCTAGCTTATTTCAGCAACATGGTCGTAGTATACACTATATTAAAAACGCCTCGTCTATAAACACCTTCGAACATACTGCTTCTGGGCTTAGCCATTTCTGATTTCTGTTCTAGCGTTATAGCTCTACCTTCCTTTAGCCTGTATACATTGTTCGAGTATATCCGAGATACCACACCCTTTTGTTTCTTTGGAAAGGTTTACATTATCAGTGGAACAACTCTTGCGGTTATATCATTTATTGCGTTAACAGTTGTCACTGCAGATCGATACCTTGCTGTTATCTTACACTTGCAATATGTACAAAGAGCTGGTTACATCCAAACGTTATGCCATTGGTCTTGTTTTCACCTGGGTTATCTGTTTGTCTGCTGTCACAATAAGGATGTTTCCCTACGGAGTAATATTTTTGTTGTTAACGTATATTGTATTTGCTTCCTTGCTGGTTTTTTTTTTTTTTTTTTTTTAATTGTCAGAATATCCAAGATTATCAAACGACATTCCCGTCAGATCCACGCCCAACAGCAATCACTACAACAGTCTATAGACATGCCCCGATATATGCAAGAAATCCGTCAACACCATGTACTATGTGATCGGTACTCTACCTGTTACCAGAATTTAGCTTATGGCTTCGTACTTATTTCACAGTAACAGAAACTATCGTCCTATTGAACTGTGCCTTAAACTCGATCATTTATAGTTGGCAATTTGGGCAAAAATAGGGAAAAGGGGAAGGAACCAAGGAAGACAAAACACTGAGCTACAAAAGTAATAAGAAAAAAATCTCATTAGTTTTTCTTCGAAAAGATAACATGTATTGAGGACGTTCATGGACATTGCTCCCACACACCTTTTCTATACGCATGTGTTTAGTGGGCGAGCGCTCGGCCATCGGCGTGATGACATCATCCAGCTGATCTGAGAGAAAATGTTAGCCAATCAGATTGGAGAAAATTTGTAAAACTGCATGAGGTGACACTTTATCTCTCAAATATTGAATAACGTTTAAGGTAATTCCCTTGTTTTGCACTGCGCATTTTTCTGCGCATGCAACTAAAAGCATGGAACTAACAAAGTTTAGGCATTTTCCTTTCTGAAACCAAATAAAAAACATGTTCCAAACCGATTTTCATTATTTTCCTCTTTTTTGAGTAGAGAATTTCGATTTTTATCTGTCTCGCCCCAGTCTCCACTCGGAAAATGCCGGTTTTAGACTATTTTGAGATGTTTTTTCATGATAAATCAAAAACGAGAATGGTGACCCCCATTTTTTATTTCAGAATTTTGATAAATGCAATGCTGATTATATATCAAAATATGAAGGAAAGTTTATTGGATAGATTTTGAAATATTTTGATGGGAGTAGTTGACATGTGCAATTTTTGGACGTTAGTAGAGGCGCACGTATTTGCATTTTTCACTAATAGTTCACGAATCGTAGTCATCCAATGACTTTAATGGATTTAATAGTATAGATTATCTAGTAAACTTCGGTTTACAAGTATGTTTTGTTATGTATGAAAGTACTTTTAACTGTGAATAAAGGTTCTTGATTACAGCCTCCAGTTGCTACCGCATTTCACTATAAAACCCATAAATTGACATATTTGGAGAGCATCTAGCGAAAAAACGAGAATGGTTACCCCATCTTTTTATTACAGTTTTTAAATGTCCATAACATAATTAATGTCCATGCAAAGTTTCAGGACAAAGTTATTGGCAAAATTTCTTTCAGGGGAATTACCTTAACTAATAAGTTTTGTAGTTTTTTGTGTAGTTTTTCCTTTTGCGCTGATCAGCTTTCACAGCCTTCATGACACTTCGGTTTTGCACTGACGTCATTTCTAAGTCATTATTTGAGTTCAGCTTGAATATTTGAACATTCATGACGTTTTGATGGGCAACGAAGAAAACAAACTTTTTCGTATTTTCTATATATCATCTCATACTGACGGAAAGAAAGGTAGTAAACCCCATTATTTATTACGTAAAATCGAAAGGTCGACAAAATCTTTCTCGTACAAATTCCAAAGAAAATTTGATTGAAAATTATCGAAAAATTATATTGTGTGGAAAACAGCGAACTAGGTCTGCACGTCAAATATCTTATACTTTATTATTTATTCCATTTTTTATTTTTTATTTGTTCATTTTACTTCTAATATGATGCGCGATGTACTTTTATCGTGCAATTTTTTTATCTCCCTCAATACATGTTCTGCTCGTGAATTAAATTCATAGAAATTCCAACTAAATACACAAGTTTCCAATAATTCAATTAAGAGATTATTATTTACGGCTTTTGCTAAATCCGACGATAATGACCATCTTCTTGCCGACTGAATTCGTAATATCTTTAACTTTAATTGTTTACATATAATAATGCGACTTCTTTTACGAAAATATCAAATTTGTAATTGTCAGACGGACCTCACCGAGGTTTGGTTCCTGCCTCACGCAGGCTAGGAATTATGTTGGCGTAAATGTTTTGAACCCAATAATTTCGTTGTAATTACGTACTTAGGAGTTAGTTTCCAGCTGCACAGGCTGCAAACAACCCTTTTCAACTTATGACGGGTTCCAGAATTGAATTATCAATACCAGCGGTGCCGGAAAGTGGCTGGAAAGATGGCAGCGCAACCTTCCGTGCTTTTCAAATGATCAACTTTATTCTCATACAACATCGTAGCATCACAGTAACCCTCATTTCTCACAAAAATAAAATCGACATAACTTTAGTGACTTCAAAATAATCTTAAAATCCTCGTTTTTACGAATGCAGTTATATACATATATCTATATTGTGTTCGAGAATTTTCATCTGCTTGCCACTCTTTTCATTGCTACCCGCTGATCAAGATAACAGTAGACAACAGAAATAGGGCAATACACTTCCGTCAATCAAATAAATTGGTCGGTACCTTTATGTTCTCTGATTGGCGGCAGCGTATTGCCTACTTCCCCGTTGCGACTGTTGTCTCGATCAGCACGTAGCAGTGAAAAGAGTGGTAATGATTCTTAATGGTTTTTCTTTGGAAAGGTATACGTTACGAGATATCTTGCATTGAGACATCTCAGTTGTAAATCTCTTGCAGCGCTGTTCTTGAATGGTCATGAATTTTTTTAAAAATAGCTTGTAATTGAAATTATTATAGAAAAAAAAATCTCCCAAAGATTTTGTCATTAAAGGGCAAAGCTAAATTGAAAAAAATGAACGGTATTTGCTTTCGTAGTTCATTAACAAGGCCGGTGGAAATTCAAAATATTAGCAAAATGACAGCAGCGATGAACTTTTAGAGTAATATTAGCCAAATATTACTTTAGCTGGTAACAAGAAGTAAATTGCAAACAAAATATCAAGAAGGAGAAGAACAAGAAGAAAACGAAAAAAAGTAATCCATTCTTCTCATTTTTCCTCCGCTATTTCTAAACGTAATTTATTTCGGAGGGAAAACAAGAATCTGGGAAAAAACATGAAAAATGTTTCGGTAATCTATAATATCTCGACGAAATGTTCAGTTCTGGGGACAGCTGCTGATCTTCTGGAGGAGAGTCGTAGTTATGGCCTTAGTACATTTTTATCCTTTATCATTAGTATCAACTTCGTGGCTGCTCTCTTCGCAATCGTCTGCAACAGTGCGGTGATTTATATTCTTTCAAGAACACCGTCTCTTGTCACACCCTCCAACATTTTGATTCTCGGCTTGGCTATCTCAGATTTCATGGTTGGTATTCTTTCTCAACCATTTTTCTGTTTGGTGCATTATTCTTATTTAGCAAGAAAAAGTTCTCTGTTGTGCACAGGTGCTAAAATATACGATTCAAGTGTAAATGCCCTGGGCACCGCATCGTTCCTTACTCTCGTAGCAATCACAGCAGAGCGATATCTGGCTGTTCGTCTTCATCTACGATACTTAGAGCTGGTTACCGTCAAACGTTGTGGAATAGTGATTTTCTGTATTTGGAATTTCAGCATATTTATCTTTATCTTAAGACATTTTAATGAATTTTTCCAGAAAAAAAATCTAATTTTTTTTTATATTTTGAGCAGTATTGGTGTTCTAGTTTTCATAACTCTTTTGCTTCTCGTTGCGTTCTTTCTCTTTAATATTTCCAGGACAATTCGCAGACATTCAAGGCAGATACAGGCCCAGCAGCATTCAATCCAACAGTCCATGAATCAGTCGATTAACATTCCAAAATACAAGAAATCTGTCAACACCATGTACTTCGTTATTGGTGCTTTTGCGCTCTGCTATGCTCCTTACGCTTTAGGTTTGATTATTTTCGACGTGGCTCAGGTCAACACCTCGCCTTACTTTAAACGATTTCACTTGTTCACGGTCACCGAAACTTTCGTCATGTGTAATGGTTTGTTCAATCCGATTATTTATTGCTGGAAAATCAAGGAAATCCGTAACGCTTTATTACAAGTAATACGAAGAATTTAGCCCATGTGCTGGGGAAAACAGAAAAAAAGAAGATTGAAATGAAGATCCTGAACATTGTATTATACGATAGATATAGAATATAAAGAGTATCGGAAAGTTGACATTTTTTAAAGAGTAGTTTTGGTTTTCGCTCTACTCTTGTATGACTAAGCGCTTTTGATCATTTTAAAGTTAAAAGACGCTAAAGCAAGTCAATAAATTATCAATTACTATTATATTACAAAGTCTAGTTTCTCCGGGTTCAGCAGTTTTAATAACCCCTCCGCAAAATCTAACGACCTACTCTCAAATTCGATCTGTGAGTAAGTAGTTCCTTGACTTCCTGATCAGACCATGCAGATATTGTTTCAGGGTAGGGTATCGATAGATTTAAAGTTTAGCTATGATCTATCTTTGAATGATTATTGCCGATTATTGCTATCATTTGGTTTATTTGTCTCTTTGAAGGCGTTCCCGCTACGCTTGACATAGCAAAAGGTTATAAAATACCAAGTCACGAGATGGCTAGATGTTAGTGGTGACGGCAAATGTGGGATTACAGTTTGCTAACCAAAAATAGTATTCACAGAACAAATACAATTTAAAATGACACGAAGTTCAATTACAAATACAAGTAATTGCGCCCAGTGGGAGTGCAGTTTTTTAACCAAAATATCAAGTGCCCAAATTTGCACAATACTAAGCTACAAATACAAGTAATTGCGCAATTGGAAGTGGGAGTGCAATTCTCAAGTGCCCGAATTTGCACAACACGAAGTTACCAACTATATCGATTTTTGAACCTTGTTTTGGTAAAGACAACTTTTTTTCTCTCAAATGTACGACTCGCAACTCAAGGGATAGACAAAAAGTTACATCGTATCATACCGTAGAAGCTTTTTTGTAACCAAACAATTCTCAGTTTTTCAAACATAGCTCAGTAAAATTATCGTATCAAAAAACCCAAGCAGTCTTTTTTTTACTGGGAGATTTGGAATTCAGGCGCGCAAAGCATTTTTGCGGCAGCAAAAATTTCTAATCATATTTATCTACTGTGCAGGATCAGGAGTGATTCGAACCTTTGTCTTTATTGTTTCAATTCCAAACTTTCACGTTCCTGACCTATAAGTTTACTTGTAAGGTTCGAGGTTTCTTCAGATGTTCCTGGCCTCACCATGCAGTTGATTTCCTTTGTATTTATGATAATGATACTGACTAAAAACTTATATACAGCACATATATAGGCGCTTTACGATAATTATACGAAATGACTGAAAAAAATCTATGAGGATAATATAAGATCTAACCATATATAATATGAAATGTAGAAAATTAGTATTAGTGTCATAAGCAGCCTTAGTAATATATAATAAATATGTAATAAAGAAATTCTGAAATAATATAAACTTGAAATCTAACTATAGTGTCACTTGTCAGTATCACTTATAGTATCACTTATCGTCCTCTGTTTCTGTCTTAGTAGCAAGTTCGGGCTAAAAAGAACTTTGGCTCCCTGTGGTTTGTTTATCAGATAGTCGACATTTCAAGTACGTTTTTGCTTCATGAACGGTTCTTCAAGAATATTGAGCTCAAATCTACCCAAGAATACAGATCAATAGTTGTTTGAGTGTTAAGTTGTGCTAATTTCACAAAGTTAAGAATATAAAATTTTTTTCGGGGCGATTAATTTGGATTGTCTAATAATTCTCGAAGCAATGGTTGTTCTATATTTTCTGATAGGAAGCCACTGTCGTTACGCCGCCAATACGAACGCTATTCCTTGCCATCCATGCTGTACTAGGATCTCCTGGTAGGATATTTGTCTCACAGATAGCAAGATTTTTGGAATAGGTGTATGCGGGTATATAGCCAATATATATGGTACATATATAAAAACAAACAACGTTAACGACAACCGTAGATTTCATTAATAACTTCTTTAAAAATATTTTTTATTGGATCTTATTTCAATTTGTTTCGTATCTAGACTTTATAAAGGCTTAAGGTGGCTGACTACTTTGGTAAATAATAAACAGAAAATTGAAAATTGAAACTTCTTTAACCTTAAATTTAATGATGATTTCAATATGCAGAGAAAATGGGGTGTCCCGAGCTTGTTTTTGAGATAATCATTCCAGAATGACATGGGTTAGTACAATTTTGGAAGAAAAATAGCGAAAATCAAGCTACAAACAAAAAAAAACCCATGAAACCGAAACTAAGGAAGAAACATGAGCAATTTTTTTTTCCGAACACGTAACTTACATTATATTTATAAAATACTGATCAGAAGTTGTTTTAATAAACTATTGTAGACAATGGAAAAACTTTTTGTTCAGGTTCTACGGTGTGCAAGTTATCGTAAAAATTGAGCACAATTTTTTACATTGTTCTAATAAACAGAATTGTCTTAAACTTTAAAAAATAATAGGATATTACCTATTATTCTGGAAAATAGCAAAAAATATATAGAGTCCCGTGCAAAATTTGAGGGTTTTGCCCTTTCGAATTTCAAAGCGTGTATGGTTCTTCAGCAAAAATCGTGAAGATTATTTAGCGGTTTTTGAGCACGCGCACATCGTGGGCTCAAATTGAATGTTGAAAAGTAGTCAGCACCTTAAACAAGAAATAAACGTCAGAATTGAATAATCAATAGCGTTCATGGGGTGCATTTTCATAATATGCTTCAGAAACCCCTGGTGATAGACAACTCGAAAAAAAAAAAAAAACAAATCAGGGATGACATCTCATAATTTTTGAAATGCTTTTGATATACTTGTATATATATTGGAAGCGGCCATATTTTTTGCAAATGGCTGTATATTATATATATACTGTTTTGAAACGGAAATTAAGGTTGAGCGCCTTTGGAATTAAAATATAAAAAGTATTAGAAACACTATACCATTCTTTTATTAATAAACGAATACTTTTTTCGTTTAGACCACGAGTAAATTCTCCATAAATAAATATGCCTTTGTTTACCAATGACGGATTGCATCAGTTGTGGTCTAGATTCGGTACAAACAACACCATAAAAGGCATGATGAAAAAAAGATGTTCGTCATATCGATCACACCAGGTAAGCCATCTCAGAAAAGGTCTATAAAGGGAAATATAACCTAGGTAGCCGTGTTGATATCGAACTATTTGATGGAAGATTAAGGTAAGAAACATTTATTCAATTAATCTAGTTAACTAAAACCATATTTCACCTAAAACCTGCAATAAGACGCCTTGAGCCATAAAAATCTTAAATCTGGAAATCAATGCCTGATTCATGGAATGAGTTTAGTTTACCTTGAATCATGTAAATCCAAAATATTAAACGGTTGTTTTTTGTTTTTTTGTTTTTGTTTTTGTTTTTTTCAATTCCTAATATTGCCAAAAACTCGATTAGGCATTTTTCTTTCTCGTAAATACAGTTGATTACTCATTATGAACAAGGTCGGGATCATATCCCGAACTTATTTCCAGTCGAAATATCCAGCCTCTTTTGTTTTAATGCACCTTAATTTTGAGATGTACTCAGTTTTCATTTCAGTGTACTCGGAAACAAATTATTAAATCAAATATTGATACACAGGGGAAACGATTTTACTACCAACTCAGTAGAAAAATAAATAATTCTGAAACGACGTTTTTGAAGCTATTTAGGAGATTTCAGTTCTAATAGCGAATTTTTCCCCTGCTTTAATTCATGAATTTTGTTAGTAAATAATGGCTTGTATGGCTAGCTAGATTAACAGCGTTGCTATTGAATGAGAGCTATTTCGTCTTGAAATAATTTCGTACTACTAAGTTTTAAGGATAAATAATAAATAAAATAGAAACAGTAACCAGGTTGAGACATGATCTTTAAAAAAATGGTATAAAACGGGCACTGTTTAAAAGTTTTTTAACAACTATAAGCTTGCGGCTGTTAGTATATAGCATGTTTAACGAATATAGGGGAAAAAACTAAAAATAACATAACAATTTATATAACAAACGAAAACCAAAGAATAAATTGACGACTTTATTTTAACCAGTGTTGGTTTTATAATTTTTTGAAAAGTTTATATACTGCCGAACTGTTAATAATGGTTTTAAATTATAATCTAAAATTCGATATACTCCCATAAGAAATAGCTAGAAAAATAAAATATGATATAGAAAGCTTTGAGGCAGGTGTTTGAAACGGCCAATCAGTAATAAGTAGTTATGAATATTGAATGGGTAGGACTGTGGTGAAATAATGATAGATGTGTTGATCATCACAGTAAATGAGCAATCTAAGCGAACGCTGTAAAGGAAGACTTGAAAAAATGATTTCAAGCTTCAACGGGAATCGAACCCATGACCTCCGCGATGCCGGTGCGATGCTCTACCAACTGAGCTATGAAGCCAATCCTGTTGGCGAGCGGTCATTTTTGTTGGGTTCATCAAGCCACTATATGTAATAAGTGTGAATATTGAATGGGTAGAACTGTGGTGAAATAATGAGGTCATGGGTTCGATTCCCGTTGAAGCTTGAAATCATTTTTTCAAGTCTTCCTTTACAGCGTTCGCTTAGATCGCTCATTCACTGTGATGATCAACACATCAATAAGTAGTTATGACGACGCCAGTGGATTCTCAGAAACAACTATCACAAGTTTGCGATTATATTACAAAAAGATCAACTATAGCGCAGTTTGGGGAACATTTATAACCAAAAATAAATGAGATGACATTGATCTCCTTTTTAAAGACAGAAAGACAAAATTCAGAATGGAGTTTATTCTCAAAGAAAAGCATTAGACTAGAGTCTACGAATCAAGATTTTAATTTTGACTTTCTGTTTTGCATGTCAATATTTCATAACAAATCAGAGCGGGGGCGGTGATTATTTATGGTTTCAGATTCCTTATGATTTTAGACTAAAATAAGTTATCTTTATAGAGGATATTACATGGGCGCGCGGAGATACGAAATTTATCTTCGAGTGTAAAACTCAAACTCTAGCAACTTTCTTAATGACATCGAATTACGCGAACTGCGTGAAGACGTCAAATTTGGGTGTGGTCGAGCGCGTCACTCATAAAGCGCGTAACTCGAAGCGCGTAACT